AGAAATAAACCCAAACATATTTGGTAAACTAATTTCCACAGAGCACCAAATGCAAATGAAATGTAAAGACAATATCTTCCCTAGGTGTTCCTGCAAAGGCCTGACTTCCCCTGTCTGAATTTGATTCCTTACCTTAGGCCATACAAATACTCAAATCGACATAGATAAATAACCTAAATGGAAGACCTAAAATTATAATATTCCTAGAAGAGAACTAAGGAGAAAAGCTCCTCAATATTGGCATTGCCAATGAGTTTTTCTTTTTTTTCAAAACTGAGAACAGGAAAGTAAAAATGAATAAACATGATCATATCGAAACAAAAAGCTTCTACACGCAAAGAAAATAATCAACAAAATGAAATGGCAACCTGCAGACTTGGAAAATACATTTGTAAGCTACATACATAATAATGGAATAATATCTAAAATGCATAAAGAACTTACAACTCAACAGTGGAGAAAATAGAACCAGCCCTAAAAATAGGCAAAGGATCTAAGCAGACTTTCTTCAAAAGAAACATAAAAAGAGCCAACAAGTGCTTGAAAAAGTGTGCACCATCAATAATTATCAAGAAAATGCAAATTTAAACAGTTATTAAATATCACCTTAATCCACTAGATTGGCTATCATCAAAAAGACAAGAGATAAGGACCTGGCACTGTAGCCTAATGGCTAAAGTTCTTGCCTTGAACGCGCCAGGACCCCATATAGGTGCATGCCCTTATCCCGGTGGCCCTGCTTCCCATCCAGCTCCCTGCATGTGGCCTGGGAAAGCAGTTGAGGACGGCCCAAAGCTTTGGGACCCTGCACCTGCGTGGGAGACCTATAAGAGGCTCCTAGCCAGCAGATGGAAAATTTTATTTAAATTTAAATGAAAAATGTTTATTTTTATCTACTTGAAAGAAAAAAAAGAGAAGAGACAAAAAGGGAAATGACTCAATCTTTTAGTCACTGCTATACTGCCCTGGTTCTTTCCATTAATTTTCTGCTAGGGCCACCTTAGTTTAGAATAATTCTGTGTAAATTCTGAGGACTGCTTACATTTCCTTTCTGTAGAATATTCAGATCATTACTCATCAGAGGACAGGATGACACTGTGGCCAGTGAGAGTTCTCTCTGAAATGGCCGACAGGGGTCCTTCATGGGGTCCTAATGTGAAGCGCACAGGACTTTGGCCATATCGCTTCAGCCAGAACCAAGAATTCAAAGGAGCAGCAGGCAGCACGTGCTCCTGCATGGCATCTCAGTGGCCACAGGATCCCCTTTCACTCACTCGGTAGCTTCTGGTGGCCTCTCTACTCCTCCGACTCAGACATCCCGGCCCTCCTGGTTGCTCCATCTCAGCTGGGATGTAGGAAGTGGAGATCGTGAAAAGAGAACATACGGTAGGTTGTGAGCACTGCCACTCTCCAAGCATGACCATGGACACTAGTCAGACCCTGAGCCGCACTACGATGGAATCACCTGCCCCAGGCTCAGACTCTCACTTCCTGCTCTCTGCCTTTTATGACAGTTGACAGCGGGTCAGCTCATAGTTTGCTGAGCACCATTTGACGCTGATTTCTCTTTGAAAGGAGAGTGAATCTGTATTATTTGTATACCCAAAAACCCAACTTTTGTGTGTGTGATGGTAATTTCCTGCTAGATTTGATTAAAAGTAGAATAGAGGAAGAAAAGTGAAATTGATCTATTTAAGTGTCTGATTCCCCTTCCCTCCATGAAAAAACAAATAAGACAAATGCACCGCAATGAATAAAACTTAATCACTGCACCTGATTTCTGTCTCAAGAAAGTAGGGAGAGGCAAAGAAACTTCATTATGTTCAGATGGACTTGGAGAAAGAAATAGGTTGGTGCACACTTGGAGGGTAGTAGAACAGTCAGCTCCAGAAAGGCTGGGACAGTAGAAACAGGGTCATTCTGGAACCCAAACAGGTCCTGGAGGCCTCTGGTAAGATGGCTGGGTTTGTGAAGGCTGCTCCTGATCCTGCCTTCCCTTCTCTTCCCTGGAGATAAAGGAGCTACAAGAGTCCAAGATGGGAGAATCCTTCTCTCACCTTGAAAGTAGGAGACACAAATGTGATTCTGATGCAGCCAGAGGAGATGGATTTGAGGCCTTCAATAAACAACGCTGATATCATTTTTCCTATGCAAATTGGGCCCAACCTGGTTCCTGGGCTTCAGTATGCTTATGCTTGTTGGGCACTGGGATTGTAGAGTTTGTCTACTGACTTGTATACCTTATCATTATGCTTCTACCAAACAAAATGTAAGTTCTCAATATCAATGTAACGAATTATATTTCTAAATGGGAGGCTGCCTATGCTTTAGTTGCAGTTTACAAATTCATGAACTTTCTTCTTTTTCTTAAAATTTCTCCTTCTAGATGATTCAATTTACCGGATAGGCTAAATGATCTAAGATATAAAGGTCTGGGGCAGTTGTTGTAGTGTGGCTGAGACACTAGCCTTATCAAACTGGTTCAAGACGAAATTACTCTTGTTTCCAATACAGCTTTCTAATAATGTGCTAGGGAAGCAATGGATGATGGTCCAAGTACTTAAGTCCCTGCCACCCACATAGGAAGACTGGATTCATACCTCACTTCTGGCTTCAGCCTGATCCAGCCCACACTGTTCCCAGAGCTTGGTTGGTAAACCAGCACAATGCAAGATCCCTCCCTACCTTTGCCATTCTGATTTTCAAATAAATAAAAACAAATAAACAAATACTAAACAGAAAAAATGCATGTTCTCTTTCTCTTTCAAGTAAATAAAATTTTTTTTTCAAAAGATATTTGCCTCTCATTAAAAAGAAAATAAAAACTAGGAAGTAAGAGAATGCAGGAGAGGAAGAAAAAAATCTTTGTTCTCACAATCCAAAGAAGATGTTGCCTCTCTGCCATTCTCCCTTGGAGAGGCAAAGTCCCGGGCTGCTATCACTACTTCCTGTTGCTAAACACCAACTACACGTGCAAATTACTTTAGTAAATATATTCTCATCAAGTAAATGCTGGAACGTATAAAAGGGAATGTCTTATATTAATTTACTTAGAAAATTTTTGGCTAAATTCCTTTGACAATATCATTTTCAGACATAAACACCTGATTTGTCTGCCTTGTCACTTATTAAGGTTACCTATTTATAAATGACAATAATATCATAAATGAGAATGGGGAGAAAAAAAACAAAGCATCTTATTCTATTTAACACCAATTCCAACCTTCAGCATATTGAATTCTCAGAATTACATTTCCCCTAGATCTAGATTATACAAATCAGGTCTAACTGATTTCTTTGGTGGGTATCAAAGATCTTTCTGCCAGTTGGCATATGCAGTTTTCAATCAGCCACCTGAACTATCTGAGGAGTCTGGAGGCATCGTTATTTTTGAAAGCCACAGTGCCAAGTTCACAAAAATTTCAGACATATTGAACCAAGATTGTGGTCTTCAGTTTTTCTTAAAAGCTGCTTATAAAAGGACTGTGTGAAAGAGACTTTGATATGTACCTCAAGTCACAACTAAGGGGCCGGTTTGCAAAATCAATTGTGCAGCTTTTATACTCAGTGCACGTTTACCACATATGTCCTTTATTACACAGTGGAAAACCATTAAATGCACAGTAGTTTTGCCAAGTGGCATTATGCATTTAACAGCTTTATTCATTTAACAGCTCCAACTCTCATTATATTTTGCCATGTGGTACATGGGATTTTATGCATTTAACAGTTTAAGAGGGCTCCATGGTATTTTCTTTTCATGTATTTCATACTATGGTTGGACATCATGTCTTAGTAAACTGTATTTCACTGATTTGAGAGTCAGAGGAATCTGCAAAAATTACTACACAGAAATTGAAAAGAGAAACAAATATTTCAACACTCTTCAAATTTCCCTGATATTTTGCTCTTCTTTTTCAACAATTGAAAATAACCTAAATCAGGAAAACTACACATTAAAATAGCTAATCCTAAAATGATACAATTAGTCTAAACATGCAACTATCATTTTAAAATTTCATTTTTATTAAAACTCTTCTTGCTTAACTGGAATGGAGTATACCCAGTAATTTCTTTATAGCACACAACTGAAGATCCGCTAGAGGAATGATGGGCCATTTACCATTTACATATGTAGGGACAAAAACATTTGTCACATAAGACCACAGAGGATATCAAGCTCAAAATCAAAGGACTCGAAGAACTGTGTTTTAACTAACTTTGGTTCCTTCTGCCATGCATTAATTGTTCATCCTAGGGATAAATAAATAACCTAGGATTCAAGGACTTTCAACAATCTGAATCGGATAATAGAAACTATCAATTGTTGCTGCTTTCAGAAATAAAAACAAACTAACAAACAAATAAGCATCTGTCTGCTCTTTTCCCCAGATCACTGCATTCCTCACAATCTCAGTGCTACGAAAAATTTTACTGGATAAGCTTTCATGTTTTTCTGCTAAAAGATTTTAACACTTACCCTGAACTCCCTCACATGTGTTTCCTCCTGGCAAAAACAACGGTATTCTGTACATAAAAGAAACACCTGACTATCTCAGGCTGTCTCTGGGGGCTATGGGAAAGTCAGCCATTCCCCTGGCAGGAATAAGAGGTGACGTGACTTGGCTGAAACTTGGTCTCAGGAAGGTGTTATATACATTCTAAGTTCTGTTCAAATGCCAAAAAACAACAAGAAAAACAAAGAATTCAGAAGGAAGTACATAGCAGTATTTAGAATAAGGAGAGAAGTCATTCAAGGCTGACTTTTTTCTGAGGGAAAATAAAAAGTCTTTAAAAGAGAAAGGCTGACTTCTGGCTTAGTTTTTGTTTTGAACTCCAGTGGCAGTGAAAGCAAACCATGAGCAAAACGCAGACCATGACAGGTTCCCTGGGGATTATTATTGTTATTATTATTATAGGAACAGATGTATTTTTATTAGCGAGAGGAGGATAAAAGTCTGATTCCAGCCCCCGATTCTGCTCTTTTACAAACCACTCACCTGACTTTTATTTGCAGCCACTTTGGCAAACAGGGCTTGAGACACCTTGGCCCTTTTCATCTCCTGTTGGATCTCGTCATAAATGGCAGCTGTGATGTTGACGTTGGCGCCGTCCACCTTAATAGGGAGGTCTGCTGTCGGGGTCGAGGTTTTGGCCTACCAAGAGACCATGAAAATAATAATTTAAAAAGTGCCGCATTCAGCTCAGCCATCTGTGCAGAAATTATCAAAGGATTTCAGTCAGCTGATGCCAAACTGCATTAGCTACAGAGGGACACTTCCTGTCCATGATTCTAATCAGGTTAATTGTGATTGGAAATAATTGCAGGCATTCCTATAGGACACACAGGACCCTGTCAGCCCTGCTCTTCCCCTCACAACATCCTGGATGTTTCACAGGTAGGATGGCTACTCTCAGCATCCAACTATAAGCTATCAGCTAACTGCAAAACAAATGTGCATTGCACAGCTACCTTTTTTCTTTCTAAATGTGACACACCTTGGAGGAAGAGCCAATTCTTTCAGAAAAAAACGAGTAAATGGGTAGAGTTCTCTAAATAATAAATTATTACTCAATTTAATGCCCTCCCCTGGGTCTCTCTCATTCTTTATTAAAGCTTTATGTATGTCATTTGAGTATGTATGGTTTCCCATCATTATCATCATTATGCTACCCAGACAGTCACCTAATTTCACCTAGGAAATCAATGGAAATGAAACAAAATTTCATTTCATAAAACTAAGCTTCAGAATGCCTTTGATGTGCCGTTTTCATTTTCTTAAACTCATATTGTGGTTTTCTGTATTCTGCTGTGCTCGTTTTAATTGAATGATTTCCCATCAGCTTCAGAGACAAATGAAGGACAAAATACAAGGTTCTGTACTTCTTGGGGTAAAGGATAACCCTAAGACATTTGCATCTCCTTGGTCATGAAGACTGTCAGAGGATTCGCTTTGTGTCCTAGGATGCTTTTCTAGTCTTCGACGAGTTACGCAACCTTCCTGGTCCCCTTGGCAGCAGGATTTTGGGAAAAATCAACTCCAGTTTTGGGGCTCATGAGGTCTGTCATTTGAACTGGTCTAAACTGGGATTTTTTTTCTCCTCATTCTAGAATCCCAAACCTTAGAAGCTGTCCCCAAATCACAACGTTCCCTATACAGAGGCCCAGCGGGCAGAGCAGTACACAGGTCCTGAGAAAGCCATCAGACAGCCTGCACATGGTATAGTCACCCTCATGGTGTAATGAGGTGGAGTCAGAGCCCTCCACTTCCATGCTAGTTCACTTTCTTAGAGCACCTGAGATTTGCCATTCCCCTTTGACTGCCAGGTCTCATGCGATTTTCTCGTTACTGTGAAGGAATCAATAGAATCCACAGGCTACTTCCTTGTGCCAGGAACTCCAGAAAGTATTTTATCATTTGTTCTTTCCATTTAATTCTTTTAAGGATACAATGAGTTAGACATCAGTATTTTCATTTTACAGATGGAGAGCTGACAAAAAGCAGGATCCTTGACATGTTGAAAGGATACACAGCAGTCAGCAAAGGATCCCTCACCTCAACTCAAGTCCTGCAGGACCCACAGAGTGGCCCAGGAGCATGTGCTCTCTGGCTCCTGAATGCCCAGTGGATTCTGGCTGAACTTGTACAGTGTCCTTCTCCTTGCTTATATAGAACCTTCCCAAAAGAGTCTGATTCTCTTTCCTTTTTCAAATTCTTTTATCTTCAAATTTCTATTTAACTGAATGTTTAATAAGCACATTATTCTGTCTTTCTCAACTGTTTTCTCAGTCTCACTGTCTCTCCACTTACCGAACTGGTCAGTTCTCTATAACTCTGCTGCCCAAAACAAAAATCCTTCAAGGAACACCATAAATGTTTGGGAGCCTAGGTTCTGGACTCAGAATAGCTAGATCTCAAATGCTAACTTGCCCACACAGCCCTGTTTTCTGCCATAAATCATTTAACCCATCCAAACCTCAGTTTCCTCATCTGCTAATGGGAGTAACATTCTGAAATGGTGAGGACTGAATTCATGCAACCTACTCAATACATAGTCAGTGCTGTTTAACAAATGGCTATTCTTATCTCTGTATTGTTGTTTTGTTATTACTTAATAAATCAAGAAATTCTGGCCAACAGAAAAATTCTAACGAGATATAAATTTCTAAATTCTAAATTTCCTCATTTGGTTTTGAAGCCACTAGCCAAGTGTTGCATTTCACCTCTGCCAAGAGCAGCCTGTGGGGATGAAAGAAATTGCTGCCTGCAACTCAAAGACTGTGGGAAGGGCACTCCTCTAACGCTTATTCTCACAGTGAGAGTTCTCCCCATTCCAGCAAGTCTTCATTATTGAGATATGTCTGCAAACAACTTTGGATAGGCAAGTAGTCATGCAGTAAAGTGCCTCAAAGACTGGCAAAGGCCTCCTTATCAATCTCTAACCCACAGAAAAAAGAAGAAATTTCCAGAATAGGTATAATTGCATGCTACAACTATACCTCCAACAATAAACTTAAATACTACGTTTTGGATTTTTCTAAAATTACAAAGCTGTAAAATTCAATAACTATTTCTCAGCTTTACCTGAGCTTTTCGAAGTGAGATGCTCCTTAAAAAAAAAAAAAAAAATAAGAAAAAACCCAAAAAACAAAAACAAACCAAGCGAACACACACTAGGTAGTCTTGGAAGTTGTCCTAACTCTGAAGGCTACTGGGTCTGGAAAAAGGTGTTTAACATATAATCTCATTAGGAAGCTCTTAGAATAAGAGTTTGAAACGAAACACACACACCTATGCTACTTCCTCACACGCAGTAGTGACTGAGAAGGGCGGCCTGGGTAAAAGGCCATGAAACATGGCTGGACTTTCCGTTAGTGGTTTTAATAGGCTACAAAAACTTAGAAAAATACTGTTGAATTTACTAGAAGTAAATATTAGTGCAACTTAACAACTCACCCGACTTACTAGCTCAATATGTATGCCCCCAATTTTTTTTAAATGATAAATAAAAATGCTTGGTTACACTTGTCCAAAATAAGCAATCCAAAGACTTACTTTTGGTTTAATAGTAACTAAAACACATAATTTATTAAAGTCTAAAGTATAAGTAACAGAATTTGGCAGTGCATAGTAGAAAGTGATCTTCAATTAAAAAAATCTATTGCAGAGTGCAAAAATATAAAAAGAGTCAAAACGTGTGAAAAATTGATGCACTTGATAAAGCTCAAATATTTCTACTAAAATAAAATTCTAATCCATGCATAAGTTCTTTGGAATTTATCAGAAGACAAACTCATAAAATCAAAACCATGGTATCTAAGCAATACAATCTCTGGGAATGAGGCACCCAACTCACAGTTTGGTACAAATACGTGCCTGTTAAATGCTGGTTTTGAGGACTATTGCTCAGATGGAACTTGAAAATTCCCAGCAACACTCAGTGGAATGGTAGAACTCCATGGAGTTGAAAGGGTAAGGGAAAACAGAGCAAACTAGAAATCAAAGACCTTGGGGCTGAATCCAAAAGGACTCCTGACTGCCTTGAGACCTTGAGCCTTCAGTTAGAAGCTTGGAAACACACTGCACAGCTAGGACCACACATTTGTAGGAGGGCTTAGGAGTAGGAATCTGTTCAAGTGTGGAGAGAGGAGAAATGGATGGCACAGAATCAGCCAAGGAGGGAAAAATAACATAGGCTTATCTTCCCACTATCATTTTTGGAGGGTTCACTGAGTGACACTCCAACTGCTCTGGTCTAGCCATTGTAATTTCTTACTTAGATTGTACCCAGGGCTTCACCTGTTTTGTCCTTTTTGAATCGCATTACAGGGAGTTTGAATCCCCTGCCTACAAAAACCCATCCAAATAAACATACAATTCTAGGAAAAGCACTATGCTTCCTATGCAAATACAGCTTCCACACAAATCCCTAACCCCTTCTTTGATGACTAAGGAATTGTATGCAGACATTTCTAAAAACACCCACCACACACTGGCTACTACTTACCTACTCATCCTGTATGGCAAAGAATGCGATTTCCTTGAAGAGTACACCATCTAGTACAGCACTATGCTCTTGTTAGCACTCTACATCCTTTGACTAACATACTCAGTAGATCAGAAACCTTTGAATTCTTTCTCTTAGTTCCAGATAAAACATAGTATTAGTGAAGAAAGAAATTAACAAGGTAAAAAGTAAACCATCAGAAGAACAAATATCTCACCTGAGGGGTTCGGGAAGAGCTGGGACTGCTAGAGGCTGATGAGACCATGCTCACATTGGGGTTCATGCTCCGCTCTCTTTCATCCTGGTATATGCGATCTCGTTCCACTTCTGGCAGATTGAGGAAATTCTGCATGGCCCTCAGGTTTACTAAAAGAGACTGAGAGGCTGTCCGAGGGTCTTCTTCCTTACGCAGAATCTCAGACAACAATCCCTAATGAGATGGGAAGAAAAAAACAGGTCCAGTCATATCTGCAGGGGTGTGTGGATGGTTTCTGTCTTCTGCCCCTCCCCCTATGATTATGTGGTACAACCATGTGGCTGTGATGCCAAGGACCCTAGTCTAATGCCCTAGGTTCTCCAGCAGAAAGTTTGTGTTGCAATGTGCCTGCCTTCTGGGGCCTGAACCTGTTTAAGGGCGGTTCTGTTCTGACACCATATCATCACTGTTAACAGACATGGCTGTGCTGAGATGCCAGTGAGCAAGGTAGGCGCTAGGGAGGAATTGTGAAACTGTAATTAGCACCAGGTGCCTCCTACAAGTATTTCAGGAACTGTTAGAACTCTCTCTGCTTGAAACTGGGAGCACTTGGCAGTCCTGTTCAGCTTTACAAATCTGCCAAGTTTGGTAAATTTAGTTCCGACATTTAAACAGCATGGGAGATTTACATCGACTTTAAAAAAAAAAAAAAGATTGGCTGAATTTCTGTGTGACCGGCCACTCTTTTCAATATAGATATTTCTTATGGAGAGAGGAGACAGAAAGATGGGGAGGGGGAAGACACAAAGAAAAAGAAATGGCAATTACTTGACTTACCCCCTGATAATGTCCCATGCTACATGTAAAATGATTACCATTGCATATATACTAAAAGTTACCCAAACCTGTTCATGAAGGCCATCAAGGGCCAAGCTGCAGCCTGCCAATAAAGCATGACAATGAAGGCACATCAGTGAGGGGCCAGAGCACAAGGTAAATAAAGTGTAGATTGGAGGCTGTTATAAGCTTAGACATTTTCCCAATGTGTGACTCAGCCAAGCGGAAAGCTTTAAATGGGAAATTAGTATGTTTACTATGTGGTCTGATGAGACAGAATTCACAAAGAAAAAGAAAATGCTAAGCTAGGGAAACACTAGTACATGCACAAGAAGAGGGCTGGGTGTCTAAGTCACAACATTGAAGCAATTTGGACAGATGGGTATCCAATTCCAGTGTGCACACTTAATGGATTATTGTATAAGGCATCACCTTATATTGTAGTTAATATCCTTTCTTGGGGTAGGAAGAAAATCAAGGTTTAGCATTATTCCCTGGGCAGAGCTGAGATACTAATTCTGTGTATTTGAACAGATGGGGGTAACACAAAATCATGAGAGGTTACATACATGAACTGGTACAAATGACAAAGATGTTTTCATGAGGGTGGAAATTAAAACACTACCCAATTCCCAATATGTATCTCACATATGAAAAGGTATTGAAAATCAGAATATATCATCTAGGGTTTGTCAGAAATTTTCAGGGTAAGTTAGGCAATGTTTTATAAAATAAACAAACAAAAAGTAATGCATTACAACATCATGGAGCCAAAGTCATTTACCAAAATATGCAAAAAACAACCACCGGCACTCCAAAGAAATAATTACCACTCAAAACATCCCATAAGACAATTGATTGTAGGGAACCCACAAGCAGTGCACATCTGACAGTTCTGCAATTTGTGGGTGTCTTAATACTTTGGTTAGAGAAATCCTAAGTAATATTTGGTAGAAGTGTAAAACCAGAGACGGCATTGTAGTGTAGCACACTAAGTCACTGCCTGATACACCAGGACTCCTCATGAGCCTGACTGCTCAACTTCTGAACCATCCAGCTCTCAGTTAATGTGTCCTGGAAGGCAGTGGAGGATTGCCCAAGGACTTAGATGAAACTCTGGGCTCCTGGTTCAGCCTTGGCCATCACAGCCATTTGAGGAATAAACCAGTGGATGGAAGATTCCTCTTTCTGTTGCTCTCATTCTGACTTTTCCTCCCTCCCTATCACTCTCTCAGTAACTTTACCTTTAAAATAAATTTAACATTTTTTTTAAAAATAAATGTATATATAAGCACTATAAAGAGCCATATGTATATGCATGTTACATATGTACATAAAGAAAAGGGCAAGGCAGGATGGATGTGCTTGTGAAAATATCCTACTGGTAAAGTGATTTGAGGAAGTTCCAGGTTTCTTGCCATGCTTTTAAAGGTAACAACAGAGAAACTTATCTTCTAGAAAACATTATACATTATAGGTACTGGCTTTCTTCCTGAAATTAAAAAAGTTAGTTCTGCTTTGAGTTATAATACCTTCCATTAACACTAAGCAAGTGGATTTGTTTTGAAAATCTAAAAATATATAAATTAATAAATAAAACAGTAACAAGGAAATGGATTTAAAACCACTACCAATTTCCAATACCAGTTAAGACACTGATATTTTATGAGCTCTCTTTAATGATGAAATTTTTATATTAAGAATGAGTTAATCGTCTTATCCTTTTTGCTCTCCACTCATTAATAGCATTGATATTTTAGTAAATCTCAAATGACTGAAAATTGAGGCAGTTGAGATCAACATGGATATGATAGCTATTAAGACTGCACTCAAGATAGCTCAAACTCAAATTTGAAAGTCTGTAAACTTACTCTTCCTTCAGGAAATTATTTTTATAAGTTATAGGATGTATTATAGCAAAGCTCTTCATACAAAATGGTGACATAACAACAAATATTATTGCTATAAATTCTAAAATTCTATTTGTTCATTCCTAATCAATAAATTAGGCCATTCAAAAGTATTTTAATTTGTGTCTTGTTTGGGTTTTCTTTTTTCCCACCTTGAAATGGTGTGGCTCTGGCCTCTACATTTTTTAACACATTGGACTGTACCTGGAAATTAATACATCCTCCTAAGGAAAATTAAGCCAAAGCTTACCATAACCTTTTCTCAAGTACAAAAGACCTACAATTTGTGTTTTAAGGAGCTAATGAAATATACTGCTGCTTCTGTTTGCCAACTGCTAGACAATGTCTCAAACCAGCAAGATGGCCAGGGCAACCGCACGATTGTACCCCCAGAGAACTAGGGCACCACTTCAAATTACTTAAACTCCCCTCTACGTAGCTGAAGTCCCATGGTAGAATCTTATTACTCCATTTTCAGTAACAAGTGGCTACCTATTGGTGCCAGGAGCGAAATTTCAGTTGTCTTGTTGAACCTTCGTTTTGGTCATTTATTAACTTCTTTTTAAATATCCCAGTTTCAAATACTTAGAAGTCTAAATTCTGCATGCTCAAATATACAAACTGAGTTTATTTAGTGAGCTGCAAGCCATCAGTGGGAAGAAGACCTACAGAAAAATCCTATAAATACCACAAATCATTCTGTCTAATTAGCAAGATAAGTAAATATTTGTCACATTGAAATTGTCTTGAAGAGAACATAAATTAATAATTTATCTCACATAAATATTTCTAAAGTCCTTGTCACTGTGTCATCTGGCATTTTAATTATCAACCAGCCACCCAGGAGGTGTCACTTGGACATTCCCACTATGCAGCCTGAGATACAGAAAATGTGGCATGGCACCTGGGCACCATGTCATTTACCAGAAAGAAAAAAAAAAAGATGTACCTTTATGAAACAAAAAGGTCATGAGTATTGACAATGTGCACATGGAAATAAGTTAATAAATTAACTAGTATATTGCTTATTAAACTTTCATATTAGTAATCATGTTAAAACACATTTTCAGTATTGAGTAAAGTGGTCAGTATTTTCCTCGTGGTAAGCAACAGAGCCTTCTCCAGGAACACATCAAAGCAATTTCCTCCATGGTGTTAGCTAAGGTTATGTAAGACCAGGAAACATGTTGGTTGAAAAGGAGAATAACTGACCATTTGCCCAAGGTGGAGCAAAGCCCTCCGAAATAGTCTCCAAATTGTAAATCAGTGGAAAAAGTAGGGAGTCAGGAAGTGAGAACCTCAATTTGATTTTATCTCCATTCTCTTAATGGAGAAATTTTGCAAGCATCATGTAATTTCTAGCAAAGAATGTATGACTTTGACACAAAATCATTCAAAGCAAAATAATTCAGAGTGCAAAATAGGAAATAATATAAAACCCTCTAGTTTGACTTGCTAATTTGATTGCAGGCTATCTCCACAAAAAACAGTCTGGACTGATCTTAAAATGCGAAACTGATATCCATATTTTGTTCTAGTATTTTTAAACAATACCTCTTTGCAACAAATTACATGACCTCATAGTTTCTTAATCTGTGTTTTCTGTTGATGAACATTTGATTCTCACACCTCTTTAAAACTTTGTATCTTTTCTGAAAACTTTGGGAAACGTTACCACAGCTGGCTGTGTAAAAGTCACTTCCAGGTAACTACTACCTCTGACTGCTCTTTCATCCTGGAATAGGGCAGGAAAGAACACTCTCAGGCAGACCAGGTTTTAGGAACATTAAACTTGAGCCCCTGAGAGTCACCCAGTGCGGTGTAAGGCTAACAGCTCCTAATTATCAATCAGATTTTATCAGATACCTTTTCTTCATGAATCTGAGACCTTTGGAAACTTCCTGAGATTAGAATATATACTGTCAAAAGTATCGAGGTGAGCTCCTAAGTCTAGTATCTACCAGTAGTTACCCAAGAAACCTCAAATTCCACATTCCTCGTCTCAAAGACAAATATGTCTGTTAATTCATATTACTTAGGACTTGGAACAAAGCTCATGGAATGACCAAAAAAAAAGGTTAATGACGGGTAAATTCTCCTCCCATTACATGATGGGACAAAGAAGGTTAGTAGTACAATGTAAACAATGACGAGTGTCACAAATTCAAGTTAGAACTAGTGCCATCTTGATTCAACGGAGGGAGAAGACACTCCCACCTGCAGAGCTCAAGCAGAACATTTTTGGAAAAGGTGAGACTTAGCTGGGATTTTACATCCAAGTATAGGCAGTGTGTGGACATAATAATACCAGTGAAAAATAGGGGATAAATTGGGCATAACTGAAAAAGAGACAGCATGCCTGCTTCAGAATCTAAAGAAGAGTTTCTGTTTCTTTAAAAGTTAAAAAAAAAAAAGGTGGAGGAGGGAAAAAAAAACACTGATAAAGTGACAGAAGACATTTGAAGTGAAAATAATATAGCCCACATT